AGATGGGAACATAAAAAGTCTGGGCTGAAGGGTTTACTGCCCTTGATACTGGCCATGTAGTCCAGAAACTGTAAGGCTGGAGATGAAGTCCTGGTAGTCAGTAAATGTGGGGCTGATAGTGCTGTCCTGGGAGACAGTAAGGGTGAAGCTGGAGGTGCTGTCCGGGGAGACAGTAATGGTAAAGCTGGAGGTGCTGTCCTGGGAGACAGTAATGGTGAAGCTGGAGATGCTGTCCTGGGAGACAGTAATGGTGAAGCTGGAGATTTTGTCCAGGTAGTCGGGAATCATACGCAGGAAGGAATACATATAAATGACCTCATAGGGGACAGGAGCCATAGTAGGGAAACAAGTGTAGTCAAAGATAAGATAAAACCAATATTGCAAACTAGAAATACCGCAGGAAATAGCAAACAAGAGGACTCCACTAGAAATAGTGAGGATATATTACCAAAAACAACTGGTGGGGGCTCCATTGTTGGTGCTAGGGAGGATAGAAGTAAGACAGGGAAACATGCACCAACAGGAATACAGTCACAGAAACCCAAGGCAAACGGAAACCAAGCCTGTGCACATACTATGCACTTGGTATCTGCTGGCATGGGTAATCTGGAAAAACAGATGGGACGTGCAACTATGACCACCCTAGAAAATGCCATGCCCATATGACAACAGGAAAATGCAAACTCCCTTCCTGTAAGCTTTTTCACCCTGAACTGTGTACCTCTTCAGTACAGGAAAGACTGTGCTATAACTTAAATTGCCAGGCATACCATCTAAAGGGGACAAAAAGATACAAAACATCCAGGCCATGGGAAAACCTGGGTAGCCACAGCCACTCAAGAGGGAGAGGTTTTTTAGTTCCAGGAAGGAAAAAAAAGTGGCAGGAAATGGCAGAAATCGTACACCAAATCCAGTCATTCCTGGAGTGGAACCACAGTCGATGGCCTCCACTCCAAACCAACAGATACAGATACTAATGCCAGAAAAAAATCCCCCCCCCCCCCCAGTACCAACAATACACCAGTCGTAACATTCTTCTTTGCAAATTTACAGGGTCTTAACCCGCAACAAACAAAAAATACCTTTTCATCCGTGGACTGCTTGCAGAGGCAAAGGCTGTTCGCGCTTTCACTGAGACCACATAAGGATCACTTGGAAAACGAATATGGATCCGGGTTACAACCTATACGATGTGACAGCGTGAACAGGCAAAAGGGGGGGGGGTTTGGGCCGTACATTGCAGATCATTGTTTGCCAGACTGCTTAATGCCTCAATGATGTAGTTGGAAGTTTTAGTATAAAGGTCAGAACAAAATCTAGTCATTGGTAGTCTACAAGCTCCGGATGCAACATCCAAGCAATTCCAGGAACACTGTAAAAATTGACCACGTCTGAAAATCTTCCACTCCTTCACCAAAACATCTTGTCCGGGGGTTTTCAATTAAGGCACCTAAAATGGGGGAAAAATATAACAAATAATATGTTGCAGAAAATAACACAGGAGCAGCCTGATGAAAACCAAAATCAACGAGCTTTTAAAACCTCTAAACAAAATTCAATTTAAACCAAAAAAATAAAGACCTACTAACTGGAGAATACACTAGACCTCATCTTCACTAACAATGATGATCTGATAAAAATGTCACCTAATCAAAAACAATAACTCAGATCACAACATAATTGAGGTTTCGACATGATGCGTGGAGCCCCAGACCGACATAATGAGACTAGTCACGGGGGAGCATTCACCAAATTCAACTTCAATAACAAAAACATAAAGTGGGACCAAGTAAACCAAGTCCTAACCGATACAAGCTGGGAAGATATACTAAGCAACACAGACCCCAACTTATGCCTAGAACAGATTAACTTGGTGGCACTCGATGATTCACAAGGCTTATTCCTCTAAGAAAAAGGAGGAGTAGATGTAAAATAGAAAGAGACAGGCGTTCCCTTTACGGGCAAACGGAAAGAATAACAGAGCGGCTAAAAGAGGTCAATATATCTGAAATGGCTAGGGAGACACTGGTCAGAGAAATAGCAAGCATCGAACTAAGCTAAAAGAATCCTTTAGAGCAGGAATCGGGGGAAGAAACTAAAAGCCATAAATGAAATCGAAAGAAACCCAAAGTATTTCTTCTCCCTATGCCAAATCAAAATCGAGACAACGTCCAGTATTTGGGCCCCTACTTAAACAAGATGGTCCTACACAGATGACAGCAAGGAAATGAGTGAGCTACTCAAGTCCCAATATGACTCAGTTTTTAGCAAGCTGCTAACCAGACTGAGAGTCGAAGATCAAAATGAATTTTTTAATGAGAGAGCCCCCCAAAATTTGATTAACACAAGCCTATCCGATGTTATCCTGACGCCAAATAAACTTCGAACAGGCGATAAATGACATGCCCAAGCACTTTTGCCCCAGGGCCAGACTCATGGAACTCTGTGTTCATCAAGAACTGCAAGAAGCCCCTATCACAAAGCCTTTTCCTTTCCTATGGAGAGGGAGCATGGACACAGGGGTCGTCCCACAGTACTAAAAACAACAGACTTTAGCCCCACTCCAAAAAGGGGGCAGTAAAGCAACAGCAAAGAACTACAGACCAATAGCACTAACATCCCATATCATAAAAATCTTTGAAAGGGTCCTAAGAAGAAAGATCACCACCCATCTAAAAAACCCATCATTTTCACAACCAGGGCAACATGGGTTTAGAACAGGTCGCTCCTTTTCTGTCTAAACTATTGGATCACTACGACAAGGTCCAAAAATGCACTAGAAGACAAAAAGAATGCAGATGTAATATATACGACTTTGCAAAAGCCTTCGACAAGTATGACCATGGCGTAATAGCGCACAAAATGCGTGCAAAAGGAATAACAGGAAAAGTCGGTCGATGGATCTATAATTTCCTCACTAACAGAACACAGAGAGTAGTCGTCAACAGAGTAAAGTCCGAGGCAGCTACGGTGAAAGGTCTGTTCCACAAGGCACAGTACTCGCTCCCATCTTGTTCCCCATCCTCATATACGACATAGACAAGGATGTCAGCCACAGCACCGTGTCTTCCTTTGCAGATGAACACCCGAATCTGCATGACAGTGTCTTCCATTGCAAGACACTGCAAGGCTCCAGGCGGGCATCAACCAAATCTTTCAGTGGGCTGCAGAAAACAAAATGGGAAATTCAACGATGAGAAGTTTCAATTACTCAGATATGTAAAAATGGGGGAAATTAAATCTTCATCAGAGTACAAAACAAATTCTGGCCACAAAATAGAGCGAAACACCAACGTCAAAGACCTGGAGGATCATGGCGGAGGATCTCACCTTCAAGGACCCTAACATTGTATCAATCGCATCTGCTAGAAAAATGACAGGATGGATAATGAGAACCTTCAAAACTAGGGGGGCCAAGCCCATGATGACACTCTTCAGGTCACTTGTTGCTATCTAGGCTGGAATATTGCTGCAGACTAACAGCACCTTTCAAGGCAGGGGAAATTGCCGACCTAGAAAATGTACAGAGAACTTTCACGGCACGCATAACGGGGATAAAACCCTCAATTACTGGAGCGCTTGAGGTTCCTAAACCTGTATTCCCTGGAACGCAGGAGGGAGAGATACATGATTATATACACCTGGAAAATCCTAGAGGACTAGTACCGAACTTGCACACGAAAATCACTCACTATGAAAGCAAAAGACTTGGCAGACGATGCACCTCCCCGCAATGAAAAGCAGGGTGTCACTAGCACGTTAAGAGACCATTCAATAAGTGTCAGGGGCCCGAGACTGTTCAACTGCCTCCCAGCACACATAAGGGGGATTACCAACAGACCCCTGGCAGTCTTCAAGCTGGCACTGGACAAGCACCTAAAGTCAGTTCCTGATCAGCCGGGCTGTGGCTCGTACGTTGGTTTGCGTGCAGCCAGAAGCAACAGCCTGGTTGATCAGGCTCTGATCCACCAGGAGGCCTGGTCACAGACCGGGCCGCGGGGGCGTTGACCCCCGGAACTCTCTCCAGGTAAACTCCAGGTCCAGGTAATATCTCCCCCTCTTCAATCTCACCACCCAAAGCTTCCCTGTCCTTTCTCCCCAGAGCTACAGGCTCTACAGCACACACCCCATCAAGATCCTCCCTATTAACTCCTTTACTTTGCCAATATTGCCCATACCACGCATCTGCAAACATACTCATCCCCTCCGTTGTTTTTAACACCTGCCCCTCCCTAAAACCTTTCACCTCAGAGTGCACTTCCAAATCTGCTATTGTGGTCGCTGTCCTCCTCTGCTGTTGTCTTCGCAACACACATGCCGATGGTTTGTCCCCCCAAAGCACTTCCTCCACACCCGCCTGCACCCGCACCGCATGAAATCTCTCCTCCTGCACCTCTCTTAACCTGCTCTTCAGATCATCTATTGCCTCTGTTTGGAATACCCCTCCCACCCCTCCTTGCTCATGATAGGTTCCTATTCTACTTTCCAAATAATTTGTTAATCCATACTTTAGTCGATTTATACGCTTCCCCTCACCCACATAAAACCTACAAATCCTCTTCTTGGCCACACTGTCCCACCACCGTACAACATTATCAACCCTTTTTGCCTCCTCACTTAGCTTCCTCCACAACGAAGCAAACCCCACCTCCACTTCCTCATCCTCAAGGAGTCGCGTGTTTAATTTCCAGTAGCTTTCAAACCGTTTCACTAACGAATCCCATGCCACCCCCACCACCACTGCCCTGTGATCTGAATAAATTGCTTCTATAGTGTTAAAAGACTCTACTGAAACCCCTAGAGTTATATAGATTCTATCCAGTTTAGCTGAGTATTCCCTCCTTACATACGTATGTTGCACTTCACCTATTCCCCCCCAAAATGCATCTTGTACCCCAATATCTCTACACAGATTCCGCAACACGTTTGAAAAATATCCCGCCCCCGCTGGCGTCACATCAAATCTCCGTATTATACAATTCCAATCTCCCCCAATCAATGCACTCCCCTTGATAAGGACGGACAACACACATACTGTCAAGGCACCGTCGCTACGGCGACACCTGACACATTTTATGTGGCCCGGTGGCCTGGTGGCTAAAGCTCCCGCTTCACACACGGAGGGCCCGGGTTCGATTCCCGGCGGGTGGAAATTCCGACACGTTTCCTTACACCTGTTGTCCTGTTCACCTAGCAGCAAACAGGTACCTGGGTGTTAGTCGACTGGTGTGGGTCGCATCCTGGGGGACAAGATTAAGGACCCCAATGGAAATAAGTTAGACAGTCCTCGATGACGCACTGACTTTCTTGGGTTATCCTGGGTGGCTAACCCTCCGGGGTTAAAAATCCGAACGAAATCTTATCTTAACCCTGGGCAGCGCTCTCAAGAAATACACCAGATCATCCCTTACAAATGCCGATTTTACCCTCACATCGTTCTTTGCCGGAGCATACACTCCAACAAAGGACATGCGTTCACGCATCCACCACCTGTCCACTCTCATTATTCTTCCCTCACCCCCCCCTCAATCCTTTGCAAAACAAACGGGCTTGCCTCACGAATTAAAACACCTACTCCGCCTTTTAAACGTGTCGTTGGCATTACAAAAGCCCTATATCCATCCACCTCCAGCAATTTTCCAGCTTTCAAGTTATGCTCTTGTATAAAGGCAACATCTACCTTGTAACGATACAGCAGTCCTCGCAACCATACACACTTACCACTATTACATAAACCATTAACATTAATTGTCATACACCTTAGGCCTGCTTACGTTTTCCACCCACTTTTCCCCACCTCATTTTTCCACTGTCCTGTAGCCTCATACACACCGTCCTTGGCACTCACCCCACCCCCTCCACTCCTAACCCCTTGCTGGCGTTTCTTTTTCTCTTTGCCTCTACACACACCTTCAATCCCCGCCGTTTTTCCTGGCCTTTGTGCTGGAGTGAGGACGTCATCCGAGTCAGACGTGACAGCTGCCCGCTTCCTCGACACTTCCTCTTCCACCATGCTTGTCTCCTGACCTTTCTCTTTGTGCACCTCCACCTCTATCACCTCATTTCCCTTCTCACTACTTGGCAAAGCCGACATTTCATTCCTTCCTCCAGACCCGCATGCTTCCCCTTGTTCCAGTACCTGGTCTCCCGTCGTTACCTCTGTCAAGGTTTCCTCCAATTTAGGGAACATCTGCAAAACTGTCTCAAGCACTACGTCAATGTCTACATCATTCATTACGTCCTTGTCCGCCTTGTGCATCACATCCTCTGCAGACGCACTCAATTGCTGTACTCCACCCTCATGCTCCACCTCACGTTGCATGTCCTCCACTTCCCCACTCCACAACCGACCATGCCTACGTCCATCCTGGCGGTTCTGATCAGTCACCGTAGGTCCTCGCCTCGAAATGTCACTCCTTGGTATTCCCTAGCCCGTCCTCCGCCTCACACATTCAGCCGCTATGTGATCATAACCATCACACAGTCTACAAGTTCTACGTTGGCCAGCGTAAGTTACAAGTATTTGTGTCCTAAATTCCTCTAAGAACACATATGAAGGTATTGGTTGCCTCAGAGTCATCTTGAGGCTAAAACTACCTTCTGGATAACCCTCATAAGCCCCTGCCGTCCACTTGCCTTGTTGAGCTACGTGTACAGTTCCAAACTTCCCAAACACACTACGTAGGTCAGCTTCATTTGCCCCGAAAGGCACATTACGTAACTTTATATACGTAAATTGACTCGAAACATCGACCATCTTTACCAGGATGTCCTCATTAACCTCGATAGCAACATCCTGTAGATCCTCATACACCTGTGATGACAGCAGTTTCACGAACATTCGGTAGTTTCCATTTAAGGCTACACCGTAAAGGTCGCAATCCTCAATCCCATATGTCTCTCGAATAATCAGAGGCAACAACATCAACGCCGAATCTTGATTAATTGTACCTCTCAGTAATTCTATGCCGACAGCGTTAATTCTGCGTCGCACCCCAACCACCATTGTGACAGCCTGGCTAGCACTTGCGCCTGTCAGAGAGGAGTAGCAAACGTCCACCCTCACCGGCAGCTGGGCGAGGAATACTACTCAAAAATTAAGGACAAAGGAATTAATGTACAATTGCTATGGATCCCATCACACATTGGATTACTCCTTCATGATAAAGTTGATATGTTAGCCAAGAAGAGTACCCAGAAGGAGAATGTACCTGGAGTTTACCTGGAGAGAGTTCCGGGGGTCAACGCCCCCGCCGTGTCTAGCATTAGGAATAATATTAGGAGAAAAGTAAATAATGAAAATGATTGTTATAGGAATGCAGTTAGAAGCCTGAGTAGATCTATAACCCACTATGATAACATGAACGTAGATAAGTATGTTTATGGAGCAACGTGCAATGTGAACAGACTGACTGATGTTGTAGTGGCCAGGCTTAGGCTTGGTTACAAGTACTTCTGGCAGTTTGGGAGACACACAGATGATGATCAAACTAAATGTAAATTATGTGATCAGGCATATGGTCCACCTCTGGAGGAATATAGAAAAATAATATTGTTGCAGAAAAAACACCAGGAGGCAGCTCTAAATGAAAACTCACACTCACACGAGCTTTTAAAATCTCTGCACAAAATTCAATTTAAACCACAAATAATAAAGCCTACTAGACTGGAAATACCTAGACCTCATTTCACTAACAATGATGATCTGATAAAAATTTGTCACCATATCAAAAACAATATACTCAGATCACAACATAATTGAGGTTCAGACATGTATGCGTGGAGCCCCAGACCGACATAATGAACTAGTCACGAGGGAGCTTTCACCAAATTCAACTTCAATAACAAAAAACAAAAGTGGGACCAAGTAAACCAAGTCCTAACCGATATAAGCTGGGAAGATATACTAAGCAACACAGACCCCCAACTTATGCCTAGAACAGATTAACTGGTGCACTCGATGTATGCACAAGGCTTATTCCTCTAAGAAAAAGGAGTAGATGTAAAATAGAAAGAGACAGGCGCTCCCTTTACAGGCGAGGGAAAAGAATAACAGAGCGCTAAAAAGGTCAATATATCTGAAATGCGTAGGGAGACACTGTTCAGAGAAATAGCAAGCATCGAACTTAAGCTAAAGGATCTTATAGGAGTCAGGAATCGCGGGAAGAACTAAAAGCCATAAATGAAATCGAAAGAAACCCAAAGTATTTCTTCTAATACCAAATCAAAGTCGAGAACAACGTCCAGTATTGGCCCCTACTTAAAAAAGATGGGTCCCTACACAGATGACAGCAAGGAAATGAGTGAGCTACTCAAGTCCCAATAGACTCAGTTTTTAGCAAGCCGCTAACCAGACTGAGAGTCAAGATCAAAATGAATTTTTATGAGAGAGCCACAAAATTTGATTAACACAAGTCTATCCGATGTTATCCTGACGCCAAATGACTTTCCCAACAGGCGATAAATGGCATGCCCATGCCACTCTGCCCCAGGGCCAGACTCATGGAACTCCGTGTTCATCAAGAACTGCAAGAAGCCCCTATCACGAGCCTTTTCCATCCATGGAAAGGGGGCATGGACACGGGGGGCGTCCCCAGTTACTAAAAACAACAGACATAGCCCCACTCCACAAAGGGGGCAGTAAAGCAACAGCAAAGAACTACAGACCGATAGCACTAACATCCCACATCATAAAAATCTTTGAAAGGGTCCTAAGAAGCAAGATCACCACCCATCTAGAAACCCATCAGTTACACAACCCAGGGCAACATGGGTTTAGAACAGGTCGCTCCTGTCTGTCTCAACTATTGGATCACTACGACAAGGTCCTAAATGCACTAGAAGACAAAAAGAATGCAGATGTAATATATACAGACTTTGCAAAAGCCTTCGACAAGTGTGACCATGTTGATAAATTAGACACATGTGCAACTCTTGGGTATCTTTATTGAGGAAACGTTTCGCCACACAGTGGCTTCATCAGTCCATATGTAGGAGAAACTTGAAGAACAGGAGGAGAATGAGGTAATCAGTCCCTCAACCTTGAGTCGATGTGTTCAGTCCATCAATCTTGAGTAGAATTCTACTCAAGATTGATGGACTGAACACATCGACTCAAGGTTGAGGGACTGATTACCTCATTCTCCTCCTGTTCTTCAAGTTTCTCCTACGTATGGACTGATGAAGCCACTGTGTGGCGAAACGTTTCCTCAATAAAGATACCCAAGAGTTGCACATGTGTCTAATTTATCAACATGTCGGTTCTGTGAACCATTCATCTACAAAGTGTGACCATGGCATAATAGCGCACAAAATGCGTGCTAAAGGAATAACAGGAAAAGTCGGTCGCTGGATCTATAATTTCCTCACTAACAGAACACAGAGAGTAGTCGTCAACAGAGTAAAGTCCGAGGCAGCTACGGTGAAAAGCTCTGCTCCACAAGGCACAGTACTCGCTCCCATCTTATTCCTCATCCTCATAGTCGACATAGACAAGGATGTCAGCCACAGCACCGTGTCTTCCTTCGCAGATGACACCCGAATCTGCATGACAGTGTCTTCCATTGCAGACACTGCAAGGCTCCAGGCGGACATCAACCAAATCTTTCAGTGGGCTGCAGAAAACAATATGAAGTTCAACGATGAGAAATTTCAATTACTCAGATATGGTAAACACGAGGAAATTAAATCTTCATCAGAGTACAAAACAAATTCTGGCCACAAAATAGAGCGAAACACCAACGTCAAAGACCTGGGAGTGATCATGTCGGAGGATCTCACCTTCAAGGACCATAACATTGTATCAATCGCATCTGCTAGAAAAATGACAGGATGGATAATGAGAACCTTCAAAACTAGGGAGGCCAAGCCCATGATGACACTCTTCAGGTCACTTGTTCTATCTAGGCTGGAATATTGCTGCACACTAACAGCACCTTTCAAGGCAGGTGAAATTGCTGACCTAGAAAATGTACAGAGAACCTTCACGGCGCGCATAACGGAGATAAAACACCTCAATTACTGGGAGCGCTTGAGGTTCCTAAACCTGTATTCCCTGGAACGCAGGCGGGAGAGATACA